GTGCATGCCGCCTGCCTGTTAGTCTTCAGAAACCATCAGCATCAATAGATCCACTGTCAACTTGCTGCCATTCCTGCATTCCGTGCACTGTTTTACTTAAAACACTTCCTATAATGAAGAGCGATGCTGGCCGTCCTGCTGCAGTGCACTCTAGTTGCTGTGGATGGCGTTAGTTATTACTAATCTCTTTTACTGGGCCTGCTTAGCAATAAATGTCACTAGGAGAACACAGTATTTGTAAAGTTCAGTGCTCTGTGGTTTCAAGACACCAGGTGTCCTGGCTATGTTTCTTGTGGATAAAGACAGCTGCTGGGCCACAGATGCTGTTTACAAACCCTTGACTGTAAGGCTCTTGAAGATAAAGGTTGTATCTCCATCTGTCTTAGTCACTTTTTTGATGCCATGACCAAGGCAACTTATAAAAGAAAGCATGGTTTCTTACTAAAGAAACCATGAACCATGGAGCTCGTGGTTCCAGAGGTTGGCATCCATACCCATCATGGTGAGAAGCATGGCAGCAGTCAGGTAGGCATAGTTCCGAGTGGTCGATAAGAGCACACGTGTGGTCCAAAAGCAGGAGGCAGAGAGCGCTAACTGGGGATGGTATGCACCTTTGACACCTCAAAGCCCACCCTCAGGGACACACCTCTTCCAATAAGGCCACACCTCTTAATCCTTCCTAAACAGTTCTACTAACTGGAGGCCAAGTATTCAAATATATGAGTTTTTAGGGACCATTCTCATTCAGACCACCACATTATCCAAGTTTATATTGGTAGGAGCAGGCACTTAGCAGACTTGGTGCTTACTGAATTAACTCTTAATTAGTAAGTTCTCTTTGTGGTTCTAGTGTTTAGCATAGATTATATGCTCTAAACGAAGTAGGGGGACAATGTCAGTGTCTTTGGGGATCCAAATTCTGCTGTGACTCAACAGACAGTTTCATTCAGTTGGTTATTCTGGGCACTTGTCTATGAAGCACAATTACCAATTCTGGATAGTGGTTATGCTTTGGAACAGAAATGCCTTCCTCTTTAAATAAATTAGCAGAAATAAATATATAAATGCAAAGAATCTTTTTGAGTACATGTTACATGCCAGGCACTGTTGTCAGCAAATTCCGTGCAATTACTTACTCTTTATTCTCAGTGTTGATATAATTCATATTTTCTGATTAGAAAATTAGTGCTGTAAGGTTAAGTAACTTGCCTGGTTTCACACAGCGCTAAGTCTAGGAGCTAGGACTCTTACATAATCATTCTGACTTCCAAATCTGTGCTCCCAATCACTGCTTGAAAGACCTCTGGCTTCCCCCAGTGGCAGCTGGATCCCCTATCCCCTGCCCCACGAATCCCTGCTGAGATTTCATGCTTTTTCCTCTGGGATCCTGAAGGCTTGCCACAGACCTGACATTTCCATAGACACCTTTCATTCTGAAACTGTACATAAATTAATCCATTAAAAGAACCCCAGGCTGCCCCATAGCAGCCCTGTGATTCAGTGGGGATACTACTGAGCGTTAATCCACTGGGTTCTCAAAAGCTCTTGGCCTTCACGTCACAAGGAACTTGGTTTTTCCTAACTGATTTTTAAAGCTTCTTTTTATCTCTTTTTTTAATATTTAGTCATTATAATTCAACCCTTCTGGCGTAAGTGAACTATGCTACTTGTGGGCCTACATGAGTCCAGATTGATCCTGCTGACACTGCTATATCTATGCACTTTGTCCCAGTTCACTCTGCCTCCCCAGAACCTGGACCCTCCTGTGCTTTGGTCACATAGGCTGATGCTCCCAAACAAAAACAGTTTGTCATCAGGCCACACCAAGATGATAATTGTATGTCTGTTAGCGTTTCTTGCATGTACTGCTGTCCCTGGATTGTTCTTTCCCCTCATTACACTGCTAAGATTCTCTCGTGGTGCTGCCCTGGTTCCCACCACTGGGTTGTATTCACAGTCACAGTGGGCAAATCTGCCATTTAGTTTGTGCACTCCTTGGCCCTCACATTGCTGGAGACCCTCCTACCATCTCCAGCGGATGAGCACTAAAGAAACTGCTGGCTGCTGGGTGCAGAGACCACATGTCATTCTTGTATGGAAACAGTGAGCATGGACTCCAATTGGTCTTGCCTCCTTTCTGCTGATGCTGCCTGACTCTGTTGTCAGGGTTTGCTTTCTCTCTTACAGACTCCCTCAAACATATTCTCTAGTTACTATGACTCTGTGAAAGCATGAGAATTGTAGGTCATGGGTCTGGGGAGAAAGGTCAGCTGGTAAAGTAGGTGCCACAAAAGCATGAGGACATGCGTTCTGTCCGCAGTATGGAAGGTTGAGTGCAGTGGCTCAGGCTTGAGTGCTGGAAAAGCAGAGATGGGCCTCCCTAACCAACCAACCTAGCCTAGCCTGTGAGCCTGTGTCATCAAACAAGGTAGACAGTACCTTGATACTGGCCTCTGGTCTTCAGATGCACATATCCACAAACACACAATCCCTTCACATTCTCTCTCTTTCTCTCTCTCTCTCTCTCTCTCTCTCTCTCTCTCTCTCTCTCATGCACACACACAAGATTTTTTTTTAAAATTTTATGTTGTGTTCTGCATTCAGAGGCATCATATTCCCTGAAACTGGTATTACAGATGTTTGTAAGCTGCCACGTGGATGCTGGGAATGGAACCTGGGTCTTCTGGAAGAGCAATCAGTGCTCTTAACCACTAAGCCATCTCCCCAGGCCCCAGGAAATAACTTTTTAAAAATATTTTATGAAAGATAGGCTTGTTCTTCTGCAAGATGACCCTTCACAGGGTGTGGTCTGCCAAGCATCCCAGAGTGTAATTATCCAGAAGTAATTTTAAAATGTATTATATTTGGGGAGGTAGGAGATGTAAGAAGAATTAAACAAGGAGCCTCATACATGCATTTATTTTGCCACTGAACTCCCTCCCCCAGGCTTTCTTCACATCTTGCTCTTTCTCTTCCCCATTCGTCCAACTCTTCTTTCCATTCTGAAATCTGCCCCTCTTTATTTTTTAACCAACCTCACCATACCCATCTCTGACATCTTTTCCCTATTTACCAAGTAATTCAACCCTTCTAGTCTCTACAGTCAACTCACCTGGGCTTCCCTCTGATTATCCAGACCAATCTTCAGAGGCAGAGACATCTTCTTCAGAAGGCAGCAAATCTGTAAATCACAGTGATTCCTCCATTTGAGCACTCCCGTTCATCAAGTGTACCTTGAGAACTGGGCACTGCCAGTACTCTACAGAAATCACCATCTGATGTCAGTGTGTGTTCCTGGTGTGTCCTTGAGCAACACATGTGCTAAAGGCTGTCATAGGCAGCATTTAATACGTTCAGGAGCACCACAATTTTGATCAGTGTTTAAGGCAATACGGGAAAGATCAGGCTGAGTAAATGACATTTGCTGTGTTATTTTAAAGGTAGACGTTAGCTATTGTTTTTTTCCTACCAACTAATAATCTATAATATAGCTTATATTTAGGAGTTAGCGCTATACATACCCTTTTCTTCAACAGAGCCCTGTGTAAAAAGTGGAAATACCAGACATGGCCATGTGAATAAAGGCTTATGTTAAGGATTTAACAGCAGTCTGTTCAATTTCTTTCAGCCTTTGCATCATTTGTTTCTTAATGTACCAGAAAAAAACTTTTCTAAGTAGTTGGCCTTTTATATCTGCATCTGTGCGTCAATCAACCAAGGCCAAAAGTCTTCAAAAATTAAATTACCTCTGCACGGAACATATACAGACGTTTTTGGTCACGATTTCCTTAAACATTATAGTATACTACTTGTATAGCATTTAAATTACATTAGGTAAAATAAAATAATGTAGAGATGGTTTAAGTATTTGCGAATTCCTGTGTCAGTTCTGAGCACGTTCTCCGTGCATAATGGGCTCAAGCATCCACAATCTGAAGACCACAGGAGTTCCTAGGAACAGTCCCCTTCTATGTTATGACAGGACTTTTTCTGGGGAGATACAGTGAGTAATAACCCCAGAGAGGGATTCCATGACAGACCAAAGTATGGGCACAACTAGAATCCAACTTGGTGAACCATGAGTCTCATTACGAAGCACAGAAATGACTCAAAGACAGCCTATCACCAAAGCCCACTCCACTATAGGTGACAGCGCACAAAGCTGGGAACCCAGAGTATACTGCATAGCCCATAAGTGACTCATCAGGTTGGAGAATGCCCTTTCCAGGTGCCTCAGTTGGTCTAAATCTCTTCTGGTCAGTTCCACTGACTTCTGCTTCTGGTCCTGGAGTCTTCTTGGCAGCTTTTCTCTGAGCATCATCTTCACAACTCAGCCTTCTTGAGTCTGAAGGGGACTCTCAGCTTTTATTGCCTACTCTGGCAGAGAGGGGTCCTAGTGAATCTGGTTGGTTTCAGGAACTTCCTGAAGCTATTTTGAATTGTTTGCCTACCTGCTTAAGGAACTTTGTGCAAGACAGAATGTTTCGATATTGAAGGAAACTGTTACACAACACTCTGGAAACTGAGAGAGAACTATAATGTCATTCTTCCTCTGGAGACACCAATTAGAAAAATGTCTTTCCTTTTATCTTAAACTCTTTAGCAGAAAGTGTTCAACTCGGGCCTGACTTCATTCAGTCCTGATGATTTATCAAGTTATTCTTGTGTGAGGCCAAGCCTAGGGTCTGAAGCGTAGCAAGGCCCTTGCACTGGGCACACCTCCCTAGGGGAAGATGGACAGTCAAGTGTAAGGCAGAAAGTCCTGCAAAATCAAAGCAGATGGAGAGGGAAAGTCTCAGAGGGCATGCACATGGGTGGGGCTCTCTAACATCTGCACAGAAACCTAGAGGATGTGAGTGAACCACACAGATACTGGAAAAGGTCTTCCCAGCAGGTGGAACAGTGAGCCTGAGGCCCAGAGGGAGCCTGGCTTGGGTTACTTCAAGATAATGCCGTAGTCTGAGATTGGGCACATCCTTGTCCATACCTCTGTTTTTCAGGTATCCGAGATGTTTCTAAATGGAGTGAGAAGGCAAGGAAGCCTCTGGAAGCCCTGTATGGATATGACTACTTTGCCAAAACCTGTGAGAATTGGGTGGATAGCATCAGCCAGTTTAAAGAGCTGCCAGATGGTAAATTGCATGGACTAACGGTTCCTTTGCTAATTGCAGGGGAGGCTTGGGTGCCTCCCTGGATTTCCCAGCATTTCTCCATAATAAACAGACACAGCCATTATCCTCACACTGTTAATATGTGAACAGAGACACAGGTTACTATACATAATATTAGCTCTCATGTAGTAAGTGTAAATGCCAGATAGAACCATTGAATAAAGGTTATTGTTGAGGCTTTAGTGGCAGTCCTTTGCATATGTGGCAGCATGAAACTGTCCTCCAGAAACCTGTCTCTACTTTCTAATGGAGAATAGGTCATTAGAAGGAGAGCCACCATTAGACACTTTTTTTTTCAGTCTGGACGGACCCACACTCAACTCATCTTACTTCCAGGACAAAGCAGGAGGAAGTCGTTGCCATGCTTTTCAGAGCCAGAGAGAGGAAGAGACTGCTCAATTCTCTTTTCAGCTTCAGAGCCGAGTGATATAACCTGAGCTGTGGACAAGTGCTTTCTTTTGTGTATCTTTTAATTAGTAAGATTTCCAGTAAGAATGACCGTCTCTAAGCAGAACTCAGTTTGTTTTTATGTAGCGATGTGTTTAGTCAGCCTTCTGTCTCTGTGGCAAACACCTGCAACAATCAGCTGACTGAGAGGAAAAGTGTATTGTGACTTAGTTCTGGGGGTTCTGGTCCATGGCTAGGCGGTGCAGTGCCCCATGGTAGGAGAATTTGGCAAGGCAAAGTTTTACCTCAATGGCAAAAAGGAAAAAGAGGCAGAGTTGAGAGTCCATCTCTCCTCCAAAGGCACACCCCCAATCTCCTGTGAGCTTCCACTAGGCCCCACCTCTTCAAGGTCCCATGTCTCTCTCCTGCTCCATGCTGGGAAACACACTCTAACATGGGAGCCCTAGGGAACACTGAGATCCAAACTGTAACAAGCCCCTTGGAATCGATATTTTCCCCTCTTCTTTTTATTTTTGTAATTGCTGCATTGGAGTAGCTAAGATTTACTGTTGGAAACATTGTTACAGAATGCTTGTGTCTGAAGGGACAGTTTCATCTATTAGGTAATCCTTTTCAGTGTGACTCATCGGTCTGCTCTTTTGAACTTAAACCAAACATGTAACATTTCCAAAGTCCCTTTCATTGCGAAAGCTTTGATATTACCAAGGCCAATCTGAGCCGGGCGGTGGTGGCGCACGCCTTTAATCCCAGCACTTGGGAGGCAGAGGCAGGTGGATCTCTGTGAGTTCGAAACCAGCCTGGTCTACAAGAGCTAGTTCCAGGAGCAAATCTGTGCCTTACAGTGATCCCGTTGAAATGCAGTTTTCATCTATAGTAACAAGTCCTTAAAATGTGTTTCTTTGCACTTAAAACAACAGAAAAGGATGCTGTTAAACGGAGTGAGTCAGTTCCCCACGAAAAGAACACACTGAGACGTGTGGTTTGGCCCTTCCTGGGAGGAGACAATGAAGAGATGGAAACAGTGTTAAATTGACAGTTCAGAAGCACATCCTAACGTAGAGAATTCAATATGGAAGTTATCTTAGAGCAGGCCTTAATAGTTGGTCTCCCTCTGTGTTTGCTGCTCTGACAGGACTCTTTCCTTCGTGTCTGTGTCCTCAGGTTGACAGGCACCTGGTCTAGCATGAGTGATTCCACAGGTGTGGGGTCTTGACTTGCTGTCAGAATGGCTTTGGGTTTCTGGAGAATATACTAATAGCTGCCTCATAAAGTTTCGTGGGGACTAGGTGAGGTAATACATATTCAGTTATGGTAGAGTGCTATGGACAGTTATTATGAAAGTGCTGTTACGTGATTTTTAAAAAGCTCCTAATTTATAAATGTTTTTCGGTATTGAATGAGTTAAAATGTAAGTGATACCCTGGCATGGTGGCATGTGCCTTTAATCACAGCTCTTGGGAGGCAGAGACAGAGTTTGAGGCCAGCCTGAGCTACATCGTAACTTTCAGTCCAGCCAGAAATGGGCAGCAAGATCCTGCCTCAAAATTAAAAAAAAAAAAAAAAAGATAAAGAAGTGTAAGAGCGGTAAGCATTACCATCTCCTGCCACAGCAAGCAGTTGTGCAGCTGACTTTCATCAACGCTACCCCTTCCAGCTGGCAGGTGTGTGCTGACAGAAGTACTTCCCCAGTCAATTGGTCACTCTCCCTTGCTGGAGAGCAATCCCCAGCTGAAGAGAAGGGCAGAAGCTTGGCACCTAGTGGGCAGCACCACCTACGCTGGATCACATCTAGCTCAATTATATAGCACCTTCCATTTAGAACAGGCAGAGATGGGAGGGGAGTGGAGGAAGGAGCTAATAGCATGGTTACCAGAACCATGTGTGTAATCTCATAACAGCCACGGGCAATTGTGAGGATTGCTGTTTGAGACTGAAGCTCTAGCTGGCTGGGAGCCACCCAGGTGTGGTACTCAGGAGTGTCACTAAAGCACACGCACTGACACAGGGTAGCTTTACCATGAAGTTCCTGCATCCTAGGTTAGTCCCTACATTCTTAGGCTAGGCTTTCAGCCATGGAGACACAACCTCAAAGGGAAAGGTTTCAAATGTCAGGCATCATCATCAACATGGCTGACAGGCTGCCTCTTTGTAATACAACACTTGTGGGGTTTGTTTGTTTGCTTGCTTCCTCATTTGATTTTGTCTACTGCTTTACATAAACTATGAATTTTCATCAGGAAAAACTGTATTTTCTAGTAGAGTATCAAAACAAGCAAGCAGAGCACGGAAATAGAAGAGGGAAACCTAAGAGTGGTAAAACTGGAAGGAACCCCACATCAAACTGGCTTCCACTGACAGTGAAGCCACGATAGAGGGACATGTGTGTCAGTGGATCACTGAACACCTAAGACAGTAGACAAGGCTTTTACCTTGGCTTGAGTTCTGGAGGTTCCCAGACATGAGCAAGCTCTCTGATGCCTTTGCGTCTATGGTGAGGCACTGGGAGCACTTGGTGGAGCAAAGTTGGTCACATCCCAAGTCAGAGTGGAAGGGGAGAGAGGGTAGGCTGGGATTCCACAGTCTCCTTCAGGTGCATGTCCCCAAGGATAAGGATGTCCCACAAGGTCACACCCGGAGGCTTTCACTACTTCCTAATGGCAGCTCTCTGGAGCCCAAGCCTTTGGTGCCTAGCAGGCATCTCTACAGAGTTCTGCTTCTTCCCTGCAGAGAGACTGTGCTGAGGGGATTTCCTGTGCTCTTGTCTCTCAGGTAACATCTGTCGGCACCTGCTGCCCCTGATCCAGTGCCCAACCCTCATTGTGCACGGGGAGAAGGATCCATTGGTCCCACGCTTTCATGCTGACTTTCTTCACAAGCATGTAAAAGGATCACGGTGAGTCTTGTTACAGCTCAGCAACTCCTGGGTGCCTCAAAGCCTCTGAGGAAGTGAGAGCAGCCATAGGAAGGAAAAGAAGTGGGAGAAGTGGGGGCTCTGGGTGTGTGTTCCCCATCTGGTCAGGGAGCGGTATTTCGAGTAGCACAGGCACAGAGTACCTGAGCTCTGAGCTCTGGGGAGCCACAGCAGGGAGACTCTGATAAATGTTCTTGAGCATAATGAGTCCTACATGTCCCTGGGCTCTGTAACAAAATCTCTTTAGATTTGTAGCATCATTGGTAACAATTCAATATTCCTTGGAATTTTTAGCTCATATAAACAATAATAAAAAATTCATAAAACCAAACCAAAGAAACAAATTGTCCTTTGGTAGTCACCCACAAAGATATAGTCATATTCTGTCTGAGGCTTTTTTCTCTCTAAAATTATATCGTAGGCACTACAAGTCATATCCACCTTAAATATGTGCTCGGGCCCTCCACATGCCTGATTTTGATGTCTGTGGAGGACCAGCACTGCTTTGCACGCTGAGCACTTAGTTTAGGTCTCTGTCCTCAAAGTCCCTGGAGCCCAGCAGGGAAAGCTGGCACCTCCAATAGCTCCACTGACTGTGAGCGAGTCTTCTAAGCCTATCTTAGCACTGGGCTTCTCTGGGGATTTTGGAAGTAAGGGGTAGGGGTGTTTCTTATTCCACAGCAAAATACAATTGCATAGTAATTCATATTTCTCCCTATATTTGAAGCATGTGTTGTGTTTCTTTATATTGAAAGGCCATTCTTCATCCTCCATATTCATTCTACAGCAGTTCAAGCATGAGTTAAACAAATGTAAGAATGTGAGCAGGAATAGCAATCACTTTGGGAGGAGTGTAGTCTAAGTAAAGAATAAAGGTAGAAGTTGGGTAAAATTAGGTTGTGAAGCCGGGCGGTGGTGGCGCACGCCTTTAATCCCAGCACTCGGGAGGCAGAGGCAGGTAGATCTCTGTGAGTTCGAGGCCAGCCTGGTCTAGAAGAGCTAGTTCCAGTACAGGAATCAAAAAAGCTACAGAGAAACCCTGCCTCGAAAATAAAAAAAAAAAAAATAGGTTGTGAGTAAACATAAAGGATTTTGACAAAAATTTAGAAGTTCATAATAAATAAAGGCATTTTCAAACTTGACTTTTATAAAATTATAATACTCAGCCATGGCTATGGCACAAAATTCAAAGTTTATTTCCTTATTAATCTCCCAGATGCTTTCTATTCATCTCAGTCTTTATGCTCTCTTTTAACTTCACGTGTTTAGAGTTTGCAATGTGGTGCTTCTGCGTTGAATTCTGTATTTTAAACATATTTTGCATAAGATATCTAATTATACTTCACTAGAAAATTAAGGAAAGTAGTCCCATTTTTTAGATAGAATTCAAGCTCAGTTGATATTAAACAGTGAGTGTTTCAAGCTACTGAGTTAGTAAATGACAAGTCCTATATTTTCCTAAAACAGAACTTTCTCGCTGTAGCACAACTGTCCCTCATGACTGTACCCTTAGAGAGATGGTAAGACAGCCATGCTAAGTGGCCTGGTTAACTGGCTTTTGCTTCAGAAATGACAGGTTTTTGCACACTGACCCTCATGATAAATGCAGAAATTTCCCCTTAAGGAGCCAAACTCAATAAATGTCTGTCTGTAAGAAAGATTAGACTAAAAATTCTGTTCCAAACCTATCTCCTAGCAACAGAATGCATCAATATTAGAGAAAATGTGCTCTTCCTGTACATTTGGTGGAAAATCATTTTCTTTGAACCGTATTTGTTGGAACTCATAGGTTGGAGATAAAATGTTATTAACTACGGTTTTCTAAACTTGGTCTGTGTTTTCCACTCCTTTCGCTAAAAGAGCCCTTTATGTTGGGTGGGTACCTGCAAGCCCGTGGCTGGCTTCTTTGGGAGCCCACAGAAGGAAACTGGGTTCCTAGAACTGCGAATCCCTGCTGTGCATCTGTACTGGGCCTTCTGATGCAGGGCCTCCGCATACCTTGCCAGGCACGTCTTTAACTGCACTTAAAGGCAGAGTCTGTCCTCATGGGTTTTTACCAAGAAGCACTTACTTGTATGAGTCACACCAGGCTGCTTTTCCCTCCTTGGAAGGAGACCAGCCTCCAGCTTTGCTAATCTGTCTCCTTCACTTCCCTTTTCTCTCTTCATAGGAGAGGAATCACAGTCTCTTAAAAGCAAGGAGGCCTTTGCTTTAGTTTTTTAGTTTTAGGCAGCTGGACTTCTCCCACTGAAACTCTTATAGAAAGTCCATAGCCAGAGCTGTTCTGACTGCAGCAGTAAGCTGAAGAGACCCTGTCCTTGGAGTCCTCTTGCTCTGATCCTAGTTTCGGGGCTCCGTTGAAGCTAGACCTCCCTCTTGGCTGAAGGGCTTTTTGCCTGTCTTGTCTGCCAGCCTCTGGGTGGACATTTCCCATTACAAAGCATGCAGCAGTCCCAGAAACCATCAGGGAAGTGTTGTCGAGCAGCAATTGGTACCCATCATATTCTAGAGTTGACATGAAGAGGCTCTTGGGGGCAGCAGGGCTGGACTGACTGGAGAGGACGTGGCTGCCCAGCTAGGTTAAGCCACTGTGCTGGGAACGTGCTAGCTTGGTTGCCATGACAAAGCAAGAGAGTTCCTGCCTTTGCTGTCTCCTAAGGAAGACTTTCCCCTTGTAGTACCAGAGCATTCCCCCATGCATCCATCGGCTTTCCACTCTGTTTAGGGTTCACTAAACTACATGATGCCCTCAGCGCTTCTTTATAGCTCAAGGTCCATGGCATGGGAGATGATTTTGCATAGCTGTAAGTGTTTTGAGCATATTTAAAGTAGGTAAGGCTAAGGTGTCGTGTTTGGCAACATCGATATATTAGGTGCATTTTTTATTTAAAATATTTTATTAACTTTCTTCTGCTTTGCTGGGGGTGAGGTCAGGGCCTCACACATGCTAAAAATGCATCCCGCCACTAAGCAACGTCCTCCGCCTCAATATTGTCAACATGTGGTAGCTTTAGGAAGACAGCACTCCCTTACAACACAAACATCCATCTTCTCTCAGTTCTAGAGTCCGGGATAGAGGTGTTGACAGACTGAATCTCTTCCGAGTCCTCTCTCACCAGCTCATAGACGGTCTTTTCTCTGATACTGGGCCCAGTTTGCTTTTCTTCTGAGGACACTAGTCTATAATGGATAAGCGAAGGGCCATATTCTGTACCGAGCCACTTCTTTAAAGATGCTGAGATTCCAGCTTATGAATGGTGCAGGGTGGGGGGTGAGGGGAGTAGTTCATTCCATTGATATAGGTATGAATAATGTGCATTAGTATAGATTTTGCTAGAGATTTACGGTCAATTTTGTTATATGTATAAGTGTTTCTGATTTTGATTAAGGTATTGTGATTGTGTAGTTCATTTAAATATGTACTGTATAATTAAGAAATATAGGTTGTTAATGGATAATCATCGATAATAGTAAAGCTTGTAGTCATGTTAGTTAGATTTTCTAGATATATAGAGATATATTTTAGATAGACATTCTTCATGTCTTTCACAGATTACAGAATAGGACATTTAATGTTTTAATAACTAAGGACTTTTCACTACAATGAGACACTCTGCTCCTGGCAGCACCAATCTACTTCAAGAGGAAGATGGGCATCAAAGAGGCACCTTATGGAGTTTGATAGCCATTTGGGCAAGACACTGCTCTTGCCTGGACTATTGCATAAACTGGACACAGAGAACCCGCAGAGAGGACTACTGAACTTGCCTAAGGTGAGATGATCTTTCGGGGTTCCTGATTCATGAAAGATTCTGCGAGACATTCTGCAGGACACAACAGATAGTGACTGAACTGACTTTGAATTTTCCTGCTTTATGGAAATGTCTGCTGGATACCATGGGCCTGAAGGCTGAAGATGGATGCCCCAACGGTACAAAAGAACTTTGGGTGACTGTCCAGGCAGCGAGATGTCTTTGTCATTTCTAGAGTTTGAAGTTTCTTAGTTCTTGTTTACTTAGGTAATATTATATCTTTCTGGAGTCTTTGATGGAATTAAGAATAGTTAGTTATAGTTATAGTTTTCCTTAGTTATGATAAAGATTATTGTAACTTTTACTTGATAACTGTTTTGTTATATGTAATTTTGCTATGTTAAAGTTAAAGCCTTTTTTTTTTTTTTGTTTAAACCGAAAAAGGGGAAATGATGGAGGAAGGTCATTGGCTAATAAAGGAACTGCCCTGGCCCATTTTATTGGTTAGAGGATAGGTGGGAGGAGTAAACAGAACAAAATGCTGGGAGGAAGAGGAAGTGAGGTCAGAGACTCCACAGCTCTCTCGGGAGCAGACGCCTGAGAGAGAGATGCCATGCCCCGCTCCCGGGATGAAGCTCCGACCCAGGATGGACTAGACTAGAATCTCCCCGGTAAGCGCACCTTGGGGTGCCATACACAGATGATTAGAAATGGGTTAAATTAATATGTGAGAATTAGCCTAGAAGAGAATGGGCCAAGCAGTGATTAAAAGAATACAGTTTGTGTGTTGTTATTTCGGAGCATAAGCTAGCCATGTGGGCGGCCGGGTGTGGGGGACGCAGCCCTGCCGCCCCATACTACTACATTCCATTAAAGTGTTTTTTAAGGCTTCAAATCTCAAGAGTTAACAGAAACTAGAATCTGCATTTCAGCTCCAGGGACAAGCCTCCATGCCCCTAGCCCACTTCTTGTCTATCCATGTACATTCATCCTTCAGGTCACGGCTCAGTATCTTCCCCTCAGGGAAGCCTCCTTACCCCATGGTCACATGGTTCCTTACTCATACCTTTTTCAACAACTCTCAGCGTGTGATTTAATTTTCATCCTCTAGAATAACACTCTCTATCATATCTTAAAGGCTCTGTCCCTGTCAGGGGAAGGGGAAGTAGGGAAGGGCAAAGGCAAAAAACATGTGGACAAACAGGAGCAGAAAGCACCCAGAGGACAGAGTCTGTAGTGGCCCAGCTGCATGGTCAGTCAGTCTTGGGAGCCAGGCAAGCAGAAACAAACAGGGGTAAAGTTAGTGTGTACAGAGTGATATTGCAGGTTTGTGTCAGCCAAGAGGAGAAGCCAATGGAGTCTTGTCTGGAAATGAGTGGCGTTTGTGGCCTTGGGATTTAGAGCACTGGAGGGCTGTTTGACTGTGCGCCCTTGAGCACTGCAAGTGACATCTCTAGCTTGTTTTCTGGTATGTCAAGTGTAGGTGCAAGGTAATGTCCCAACCTGACCTACCCACATTAGGGAGAGCAGCTACCTTTCTCAGCCTATGGATTCAGGTCTTAATGTCATCCCCAAACCCACACAGGAATGGCTGCAATAATTTCTGATCAAATATCTGGGCACTGTGAGACCCAGTCAAACTGGTATGTGAAATGAACCGTGGCTGTGAGGAAGGTCTGGCAGGCACATGCTCCTCTTTACAGGGTTCTTGGGCTTCAGGTGGCTTTCCTGGAGGAGCTATTAACAGACTGTCAGTGAGGGGCAGGAATGGCCATCCAGGTAGACAGTGGTTAGTTACTGTCTTTCTGTCTGGGTCACTGAAGGGAGGAAAGGCCTCTTCCTGTGACTTCCTTGGCTGAGCAAGTCTAGCCACCAGCGTGAGATGTTCTGGGCTGCTGGAGCAGTTTGAATTGGAACGTGAAGGCGGGACCAGTTCACACTAGCAACTGAGTTCCTTTTCTCAATCACATAGGGTGGAAGGTACCTGCTGCAACCTGTGTTTGTAGACCACATCTTGCTAGGAGCTCCCATCCCTCATGGCCCCATGACTTCTCCCCTAGGAAAGCTTAGCAGAGAGCAGTCAGGAGATCACAGGCTTAGCTCCAAACAGAAGTTGCCAGTGCTTGCTAGGCTGAGGCCTTTTCTGTTCAAAAGGAGCAGAGTCTAACCCTTTCCAGGAAAATCTTAAACACATTTTTGTTTAGTTTCGTTTTTTGCAGAACTTTCCTTAAGGGGAAAAAATATCTTCCAATTGGAAGTCTTTCAAGACAGGGTTTCTCAGTAGCTGTGGAACCAGTCCTGGAACTCACTCTGTAGACCAGGTTGGCCTTGAACTCACAGAGATTCACCTGCCTTTGTCCCCCAGCTGTTGGGATTAAAGGTATGCACCAGCCCAATTGAAAGTCTTATGTCAACCAATAAATTGTGTTTCCCCAAGTCGGAATATTCATTAATATGCTATGCTCAGTTAGAACCATCCTAATGTCTTTTTACAAAATATATAATATAATATAATATAATATAATATAATATATAGTAAAACAATAGCAGATGCCGATACAATGCCCATAGACTGGTGCATGTGCATGTGTTCTTTCTTTTGGTCCCCATGATAGTCTCAGGGGTACCATTGCTACCCCATTTTTCAGGTGAAGATTGGTGGCTCTGGGGGAGGCTATAACCACCAGTGCAGAGACCATGCTGCCTCCATGAAACCCTTCACCCACTAATGACCCCCACAGTTTATACCCAACTTTTTCTGAGGTGGTGGGCCCCAGCTGGATCCCTGGTGTCTCAGCAGATTCAGGAAGATTTTGTCCTCCACACAGCGCAGTGAATCGTTAGTCCTGCCGACCTGGTGGAAGTGCTCTCCCAAGGGTGGGTGGGGAGCATCACAGTGCTTTCATTTCTTTTACATGCATGAGACATGATTATTAGACTTAAGAAAAGAAACTTCCCCTTGAGATAGTCTGCCCCCAAACTCCAAACTAGTACATCCATTAGGGTAATGTCTGGGGGGCAGTGCCTTCTGGCCTCACTAGTTGGAAGAAACTTGTAGTTCTCACATCTTTGCCTTTTCCTTAGGGCTTTCTCAGAGGCATAATCAAAAAAGAAAACCTTCTGTTCCCGTTATGGGCAGCCAGGTTTGCATGGCTTTGGAGGTCTGCCATTGAGGGATGAGAGAAAGGTCTGTGTAGCTGCTGTTGTCCAGTTTCATGATGGACAAGAGCCCCTCACAAGGAACCATCTGCTCCTTTGGCTTCCAGAGAAAGCAGAAGTCCCCACAGTTCTCCTGGCTGATGTATGGGTTCAGAGCGTAGTGAGAATTTTGTTGCATTCATTTGGAGTGAAGATGCTATAACACATTCATTTTGGCCTCGTCACTGTTGGGCAGCTCTAATGGTTTCACTTGAAAGCTGACAAGTGTGAGAGGGGCTGGATCTGCAGCTGAGATGACCACTGATTTACCCCTATTTAACAGCTTCTTCCACAAGAGACCTAGACTTTCTAAATCTGCCACATGCTATAGAATCCCTCCCTTACCAATAGGAACTTTCGCCCTGTAGGTCCCCTTCATGACCATCCGAGAAGTGTTTAGTGACAGGCTTTCCTACTAGATTTCCTGGAAAATCTGATTGTTTGAAAGCCACTCGTGAGGCACATGCATCCCTTTGTTGTCTGGGTAAGAACTGGGTCAGCTGCAGAGCGGCTGTCTGGCCAAGTGTTTATGGCTGGCTGTTCTGGTCCTGTTCCCACGAGGATTCACAGTAGGTTCCACACAGTAAAGGGAGGATTTGCATAAAATCCTGGAAAGGCTTCAAGGAGAATAATTTTCTCCATAATTTCATCTGTGCATACATGCATGCATCCAGTCCATCCAACCATCCATCCATCCGTCCATCCATCCATCCATCCATCCATCTGTCTATCCACCTACCCATTCACTCATTCACCAACCCACTGTCCATCCCTGCATCCACTAATGTATCCACCTGGCATTTAGAGCAGTTCTCTCATGATTTTAGTTTAAAGGAACTCATGTTTATTTTCCCAAGATCTAGACATGTTGTAGAAAAACTTTAGGTTTCACCGTATAACTAAAACAGGAATGTACAGCTGGTCTCTTCCTGTTCTTATTGGGAACCAGCGAATTGTAGAAATGGGACAGGTGACAGCTGAGTTGGGCATCTCTAGATGTACTTCAGGATGGCCAGATCAGGTGACAGCTGAGTTGGGCATCTCTAGATGTACTTCAGGATGGCCAGATCAGGGTTTCTTGGCCTCTGAACCCAACTTAATTCAGATAAATGGTTGTAGTTTGGCCTATACTTGTCCTTCTGCTACCTCAGCATCCTGGGAAACTGAGCCTTGCCTGTATCCCAAAATCTGCAGCTTTATGAGCATCCCTGTATCCCCATGCCTGTGGAGTGTAGCTGGGTCATCTTTGGGGCTGGACTAACTCATCCCTTCTAAGAACGCATTTTAAACTTAAGATATTCTGGTTATTATTAATAGCATTATTGACTTTACAGCTGTCTCTAAAAGATACCATCAGTATATATTTCCTTTTTGCTTGATTGTCTTGGTCCTCCCACCCCTGCCACTGGCATAGCTGAGTTGCAAGAGGCCCAGCATCTTCTGAAGATGGCTGCCTTTCCCAGTGTCCTCCCTATTGCCCGCTGAGTTGCTAAGAGCATCCATCATCAGTACCGCTGCTGAAAGATAAGAGACATACAGGATGGATCATGGGAATTTTGCTCCAGTCTAGTTCTTTTGACACCCAGTTGTCACTGTAGACAAGGCTGGAACTTGAGCTTGCCTCCTAAAAGCTTTGTCCAAACTTCTATTTTTACACTTTAGAAGCAATCAATAAGATTATTAAAGTTGTATTTATTTTTTAATTGCCAATCAATCCTCTGATAAAAATCAGATTAAACAAAAATCTTTCCAGGACAGAGGAGTCTACAAAAGACATGAGATGGCAGTTGCAGAGGTAGCTCTGCACATGACTGCTGATGAACCCCGTCACTCCCCCAACATTCCTGAGGCATTTCTCCATCTGTCTGCTGACTGTAGTCGGGCTTACTTGATCTGTTCCCTGAACATGACAGGATGGCTTAGAACCTTCAGTGGAGGTTGCTGCTGGCTGAGAGTCCCTGTTTGGCTTGCCCACTGTGCAGATACCCATAATACTCACCTGTGCGACTCAGTGAGTTCTGACTATTTCTCATTTTTACCATCTTCTTTTAAGAGTTGGGATTTCAGTCACTATCACCCCTATTATTTTTTTTAACTCTTTTCCCCAATAGTCTTTTAAAAACACATTTGTTAAAAAGGGATTCTTAAAGTAATTACCAGAACAATTACTCCATGCTTTCTAGTCAAACCCTTTTGGTTACCTGATATAATCCCAAACATAAGGTCACTGTTCAGTGATGGCCTTTCAGTCCATTTCTGGCGTGGTTAGAATATCCTTAAGGAGTTCATCCTGCCATTCACATTCATGGAAAGTTTATATAATTTTGCAAGAGTCTCATGAAGTGTTGATGAGGTGAAAGCATTTTAAATATGTACCACTGATCAAAAAACTTGGTTTGTTTCTTAGGTTGCACCTGATGCCAGAAGGCAAGCATAATCTGCATTTACGTTTTGCAAATGAATTCAACAAGTTGGCAGAAGACTTTCTACAGTGAAATTACAGGAAGTCTTTGGTTTCTGGGTGATTCTGTATTGAAGGATCATGTCTTTGTCTGTTACTTGGGTGCTCCAATATGCCTGCCTTGCTTCTCTCCTCAGTTCATAGACCACAAGGCTTCCCACACTCACCATGATATAACTGAGTGCAGGCAGGGAAAAAAGCATACCTAAATCAGGTTGTAGCTTTAATGGCTACAAAAAAATGAATACTGGCATTTGAAATGTTAGATTGTGAGTTTCTATCATTGTCTTAAAAGTAAATTCTTACCATAATTTATTTTCAAATAAATTTATGTGAAACGGGCTGGAGAGATGGCTCAGTGGTTAAGAGCACTGACTGCTCTTCCAAAGGTCCTGAGTTCAATTCCCACCAACCACATGGTGGCTCACAACCATCTGAAATGAGGTCTGGTGCCCTCTTCTGGCCTGCAGGCATACACACAAACAAAATATTGTATACATAATAAGTAAATAAATAAATATTAAAAAAATTTATGTGAAACATTTATAGTGTTCACATTTACTATTTTTGGACATTTTGAATTTACAACATATTTTTATAGCCTAACAGTCAAAAGCTGGGTTTCTCTCAGTCCTTGATTCTATAAGTTCATAGGAGATCTGGAATGATAACAATTAAAACACTAAGCAAAAGTCCCAAAGTACTATCCCCCTGATGCTTTGCATTTAAAAAAAAAAAGGATGTCAAGGAAAAAGTACCACAGGTTTTATACACATGCTTTTTATTAGTATAGATAATCTTAGACAATACTGTAATCTTGAAAGGAGGTCCACACTATTACATCAACAGTGAATTTCTGACAGAGGCAAACTGAGCACCATAATTTACAAATAGAAAGACCATGCTGGAGGACAACAGAAGTTCACTAAGGGTGCACAATGTATCTGAGAAGTCCTTAAGCCTCATCTTCGCCCTCCTCCTCCTCGAACTCGCCCTGCTCATCTGCAGTGGCATCCTGGTACTGCTGGTACTCAGACACCAGGTCGTTCATGTTGCTCTCTGCCTCGGTGAACTCCATCTCGTCCATGCCTTCGCCCGTGTACCAGTGCAGGAAAGCCTTGCGCCGGAACATGGCAGTGAACTGCTCCGAGATGCGCTTGAACAGCTCCTGGATGGCAGTGCTGTTGCCAATGAAGGTGGCAGACATCTTGAGGCCTCGGGGAGGGATGTCACACACGGCCGTCTTGACGTTGTTGGGGATCCACTCCACGAAGTAGCTGCTGTTCTTGTTCTGCACATTGAGCATCTGCTCGTCCACCTCCTTCATGGACATGCGGCCCCGGAAGATGGCAGCCACGGTCAGGTAGCGCCCATGGCGCGGGTCACAGGCGGCCATCATATTCTTGGAGTCGAACATCTGCTGAGTGAGCTCAGGCACTGTCAGGGCCCGGTACTGCTGGCTGCCCCTGCTGGTCAGGGGTGCGAAGCCTGGCATGAAGAAGTGCAGGCGTGGAAAGGGCACCATGTTCACAGCCAGCTTGCGTAGATCTGCATTCAGCTGGCCTGGGAAGCGCAGGCAGGTGGTCACCCCGCTCATGGTGGCTGATACCAGGTGGTTGAGGTCGCCATATGTGGGTGTGGTCAGCTTGAGGGTGCGGAAACAGATGTCATACAGGGCCTCGTTGTCGATGGAATAGGTTTCATCTGTGTTCTCCACCAGCTGGTGCACGGAGAGGGTGGCATTGTAGGGCTCCACCACAGTGTCAGAGACCTTGGGTGAGGGCATGACGCTGAAGGTGTTCATGATGCGGTCTGGGTACTCCTCTCGGATCTTGCTGATGAGCAGGGTCCCCATGCCTGAGCCTGTGCCTCCCCCCAGTGAGTGGGTCAGCTGGAAGCCCTGGAGACAGTCACAGCTTTCAGACTCCTTCCTCACTACATCCAGGACGGAGTCCACCAGCTCAGCACCTTCTGTGTAGTGGCCCTTTGCCCAGTTATTTCCTGCACCACTCTGGCCTGCAAGAAGGAAAGAGAATATTAGATACTTCGGATTTCAGGGTGGTATCACTGGAGTATGAAGGAAAAGGAAAAGCTGGCCTTTAAAAAAAAACATTCAATAGTCTTTTAGATACACTGTTTTATGGGAAGGAAATATTGTCAGTATACCAATGACCTCAAAAACCTTGGGATCATAATAAAGTAAGAATCAAGTTGACGAAGACACATTTTAACAATACTCAGTAGCTTCTAAAATTAAACACAGGAAACATTCTGTAGATACTCTTAATTAGGTATAATTAAAGAGGCAGGGCAGGGCAGCTCTATGCACTTGATCTACAGCTTGGTCACTGAAGTGGTTACCTGGCATCATTGGTCCTTTGAAATCACCTGCAGCCTGTAATGCCCTCTTTAAAGACTTTCATCCTTTCTACCCCGCCCTCCAGGCTGCTCCTCATGGAGGCCTTTAACAGCCTCGTTAGGTCCACATTCCCCTGAGCTGTCAAGAGAGACCACAGACATGATCTTGTCAGCTGCATAGGTTAGGCCAGGACTTGTGGTCTGTGGACACAGGCTCAGCTGGGCACTGCACACGGAACTGTAAAGCCCATGGCTGCTAGGAAGGGGTGAGTCATCTGGCCAGCTCTCATGGAGCATGACGACATACCGAACACAAAGTTGTCTGGTCTGAAGATCTGGCCGAAGGGTCCTGATCTCACTGAGTCCATGGTGCCAGGCTCCAGGTCCACCAGGATGGCCCGAGGTACGTATTTGTTGCCTGTGGGGACAAGAGCTGACTTACAATTGGGCTTGGCAAGGAGATACATGTAGCAGCAGAATTCATTATAGAAATCCCAGCACTGAGACAAAGGAAGAAAAGGAAAATGGAGACATGAAGCATGCTTAATCACACCAGACGTGCAGAGGTCTTCGGGAGCTGCAGAGTGCTTTTATTTATTTATTTATTTATTTATTTATTGCAGTTGGCATTTTAAATATGTATGCAAAAAGCATTTCCTTGTTTGCATGGTCCTAAGCCACTTCCTCTGCCACAGTATGGAAAGCAAGGCTGACATCCAAACCCTTACCAGCAGCTTCATTGTAGTACACATTGATTCTCTCCAGCTGCAAGTCACTGTCACCGTGGTAACTGCCGGTGGGGTCGATGCCATGCTCATCGCTTATCACCTCCCAAAACTGAAAAGAAGAGAATCACATCATTTTTAAAATTCTAACCGTCACCCAAAAAGGCCTTGGTCAGACAGCACAGACAAGACCCTAGTGAGCTGCTGGCTCTTATGTGTGTGGGCAGCAGCTGCTGCAGAGGGTCTTGGAAATGCGCAGTGCATCAGCCATATTATGACCACAGATGCAGGGCTGGGAGGAGCTAGAAGAAGAAAGTGGGCACAGCAGATTCCCTGTCAGAACTGCAGAGGCAGCGGTTCTCTCACTCCAAACAGGGCTGAATGTTACTACATACAGGCTAATGGATGGGAAAAGGCAGAAGGGAATATCAGGTGCCCCGCCCCCTGCGCCTCTGGCGCCTCCTGGGATCAATGACTCCTGGCACAGACTCCAAGACAGCTTTCAATAGCCCAGTTCTTTACCACTGACCTACATACTGGCTTTCGGGTATTGACCCCAGGCTAGGAATGTTCGGGGTGGGCAACACAATCCTAAGAGGGTGCGTGGCAGCCCTGGAAAAAGCTGGCCATCCCGAGGATGCAGCCTCCATTGTGACTTGACAGCAGGAAAGGGGGTGGGGAGGTTGGGTGGGCAATATGGCGGTGTTGAAAGAGACCACGTCCTTGCACAGGCGCCCGCCCACACCCATGTTGAATGCCCACTGCTGCCTCCAGGCTGCAGCCCGGTCTCACAGCTCCAATTCCATGCAATCACCTGCTGTCTCACAGACGAGAAAGACGACCGCTGCATTTTATGTCAAGTCTAGAGGAGCACTTGTGAGGGCATTTGTCTAACAACCTCATCTGTTTGCCCAAAGAGATGCCTCTGTAACATCTGTCAACCCAATGACACTGCAGTTTTTCATTCATATAATAGACAAATATATATATATATATATATATATATATATATATATATATATACAAATTACATTTGACATGAGGTTCTCAAGACATATGACAGTGACCCCCGACCCAAATTTCAGAAACGAAAAGAGCCAGAGGAATGTCAGCTGCACTCCGCAGAAGGGTTGGGTGCCAAAGCAATGTAATGGACCTTGATTTAAGACACGCTGTCACGCGCGTGGTGGCAGGTTGAATGGCTTTCAGAACCAGACCCACCCAGCCAGCGGTGGAATGTGTCACTAGTTCGGGCTCATCTGGATCCCCCTAGGCTCGGCCCGACCCCTCTTCACAACCTTGGGACCCCGACCCGAGCGGGCGACCCCACCCACTCCCTCCGCAGGGGCGCGCCCACCTTAGCGCCGATCTGGTTGCCGCACTGGCCTGCCTGGATGTGCACGATCTCACGCATGGTGCTGGCTGCAGACGGGGTGGAGGCGTTGGCCCTCGGAGCAGTGCGTGGATAGAGAGGGCTAAGGAAGGCAAAGACCTGTCTCCCTCCCCCAGCTCAGCCTTTTATACCCGGGGACCCGCCCGACCGCGCTGACGTCATGGGGGTAGTGTCGAGGGGCGGAGCGGCGGAGACTGCGGCACCGCGAGAGGGAGCCGGGGCGCGGTGCGAGGTGCAGGGGCACTCGCCCTGCATCCGGTGTCACAGAGCTGCTGTGTCTCTCGGCCGATACTGCTGACTTCCCCTCAGCGTCCACGAGCTGCTCGGCCACTGGCAAGACATTTGAGTCACAGTACCGTTCCTCTCCCACCCCGCCCACTACCCACTACTCAGGGACTAGAGATTAGGGTCCCGCCTACCCAATAGTAGGTCAGGAATCGCCTCGCTCTTGGATGTTGAGGCCAGAACTGAAACGCATCCTCTACTGGATGTCAAAATGAGTAGGATTGCCTACATCCTGGGCTGGGGATTAAACTCTCTCCCCATTCTCTTTTAAGTTTGGGTGGTAACTGAAGGTGAGTCAAACGCCAGACTGGGTACTGCTTGGGAGGAGGAGGGGAGGTTCTGGAGAGGTGCTGAGCGCTTCTTGAAGGACAGCGAAGGCGCACTCTTACAGGTAGATTGCTGGGGGATGGGGGTGTTCGGAACTAGATTTGTCACAGATCTGGTCTGAATTGTTGGGTCCTAAAAGCCTCTTAAATGTCGACATTTTTCCTCCCGCGCACGTGAGCGAGAGAGCGAGGAAGGGAAAGAAGGAATCTAATACAGCATTGAAGTCAGGTGTACTTCCAAATCTTAGGCCACCT